ATACTTTTACAGGAAACTTTTGTTTTTTTGAGCAAAATATTATTTAAACAACATTACAGAAATGATTTTTATTGATTTCTTTGGAAAAGATTAGTGGAAAACTATTTTATTATTTGATCAATCAATTACCATTTTTCAGGTGTCTACTATATGACAGGCAGTATGCTAAACACTAGAAATGAGATGAATAAAATCTCTTTTAAAAGAGAAAAGTGAGACGAGATTGCTACTTCTAAATACAATTCCAGTACTATCCTAGAGAAATTGGGGACACTATTTTTGTTAAAAAAAAATAAATGAAATGTCAGGTCTGAACAATTAACATCTTAACAATTATATAAAATCAACTTGTAAAAAATGTGAAAGTTCATGATTCAACCATTAAAATGAGCTACTGATAAGTCAGGCAAGCAAAAGAAAGGGAAAAAAAGGCATTTATAGTAAAGCTTATTTATAAGAGTACATATATATAGCAATTATCTTTTCTGTAATTAGGATTATACTGGTCTCAGAATTCAAAAAGTATACCTAAATATTTATTTAGATTCTGTTAATGTTCTCTACAAGTAACACAAAAAGACTGTACATTTTTCTAATTGTTTATTTTAAAATATTTCCCTTTAAAAAACATTTGCTTATTTAGATTTTTGTGGGAAAAAAGAAAAAAAAACATAAATTAAGACAACTCATTACTCGCCATGCTGTCATTCTGAAGATAGTACTGAAAAGAATCCTTTCCATAAAAAGATATTTTACTAATGGCATATAATCAAGCATGTACTTCATTACTCATTAAAATGTACTGAAAATATTCAACAGTTATATAGAGATTGCAAAGAAAACAATGAAATTGATTTCCAACCATAATGCCTGTGATTTGTCTCATAAAATCTGGGGGGAAATTATCCCAAAGGAAAGAGCATGAAATGTAATGGATATTTATTCACATTTGATTTACATATGTTAAAATAACCTATTTTCTAAACTCTAGTAATCTTAATTGTAGCTGGTCATTGTCACATTTTTCCCCTTCTTTTTCATTTAATGTAGCAAGTGTCTTAGTAGTCTTTGATAATCGTAATTATACTCATACAAATCATCCAGGCATATGTATTTATTTTTCTCTAAAACACCAATGTAAACTTTTAGGTGCATGAAAATGATGAATATAAAAATAGAAGCCATGGGGGCACAACTGAATTACTGAAAGAAGACCCATTACATAAATAAATCAGGTGAGAATTATAAATCTGTCTCCTTTTTCCAGTCATTTTTCAAGACAACAGGAAATTGACATGACTCTGATGAAAATCTGACCACAGACTATAAACAGAAACTAAAAAAACCTAACTTGTAGTTTTAAGGAAGAATAAATTCCATCAGGTCTTATTATTACAAAATAATTCATTTTGCTTAATTCTTACTTAATTCCAAACAAAGAGAAACTAAATTTAGAATTCTAGATAACACAGTTTTATCTAAGCAGCTCAGGAATAACAATTGAATTATTCAAATCTAGAAAAGGAATTAGTCAAAAATATTTTAATGCTTTTCAATCTGTAACCCGAATGAATACAGAAGTCAGAAGTAAAATAACCTTGAGAAATCCACCCTGATTCTTTATACCCCAGGTAGAAGCAAGAGAGGGTAAGAAAGGCAGAAAACAGTCCTCCTATGATCTGTCCTCAGGGTATATTTGAAGATAGATAAGTAGATCCAATCTTCTCAAGAAATCTCTATCTCCAGTTCACTCCTTCTCTATCTCCATTAGCACCTAGGCCAGGACCTACAATATTGGTGATATTTAGTAAGTGTTTATTGATTGACATGCCCAAGATGGTATTAAGGAAATAATCTGACAATCACTAGCTGCTTGGCTCTCCGTATTTTCTCTTTATTAGGTGTAGAATACTATAATTGCAGAATTGAAATAGACCTTATAGTTCACCTTGTGACCCCCTTAATATACAAATGAGAAAAGTGAGACCCAGAGAAGTTCTTTCTCTAGTGGAGTATGACAGGAATTTACCTTTGGCCCTATACCATTTGAGAGGCAGCCTGATGACTCAATGAATAGAGTGATGGGCCTGGAGTCAGAAAGACTTGAGTTCAAATCTGGCCTCAAACTCTTAGTAGCTGTTTGAGTCTGGGCAAGTCATTTAACCTGTATTTTCCTTCATCTGCTGGAGAAGGAAATGGCAAACCACTCCAGTGTCTTTGTCAAGAAAACCCTGTATGGAGTCACAAAGAGTCAGACATGACTGAAGAACAACTGTACCATTTGATAATTTTTATCCATGGCTTCAATAAAGGCAAAATGAATGCTTATCAATATTAAGTTGACACTAATCAGAGAGAACTGGCTAGCATACATGATAACTGATTCAGGGTCAAAATGATCTTAACAGGCTTAAAACTCTAGATTACATCTAATAAGTTTGACTAAAAGAGGCCTCAAAGAAGAGTCCTTTTCATGAGGCCAAAACAACTCAATTGCTTAAACACAGCATGGAGGATGTATAGCTAGAATTAATTTAATGTATAAAAGATCTGAGGGTTTCCATAAAGTATATAAATTAATCTGTATGAGTCCACAATGTGACATAGCAGCCCAAAATGATAATACTATCTTAAGCATCATGTCAAGGAATGTGACCTTCTTGCTTGGTGAAACCAAATTGTGATTATTGGGTTTAAGGCTAGATTACACATTTTAGAATGAAACCAGATAAAACTCTCTAAGGGAGAGAGTGAATAATAGGGAAGGTAGTGAAGCCCATGTTGGGTAAGAATTGGCAGAAGGAGGTGGTGACATCAATGCTAGAGAAAGAGAAGAGCTAAAGGAAAAAGACAGCTATTTATAAAGCTGTATGTGGTGGGTTCTTATGGAAAATTAAGTATTCGATTCAGTCTTCTTAGCCTCAGAGAATAGAACATGGAGCAAAGAATAGAAAATACAGAGGGGGATATTTTGCTTAGTCTAAGAATAATCTTATCTAAAACTAGAGAAGTTCAAAAGTGTTTGGAAAGATTCTCCCCACCCTCACTCCCTTCCTTGAAGGCTCTTGAAGGTAGTGGCTTCCCCTTCTCTGTCATCAAGTGACTCCTGGATGGGGAGGTTATAGAGCAGATTCTTGTTAAGGCACAGGTGATGTGATCTCTGTGGTCTCACCTAATTTGAGGATTCTGGGGCTTCAAAATACTAGCAGTCAGAGGACATCCAAGTTCAGTATTCTATACATAGCTTTTTCTCAGTGCAATAATGAATTCACTTTCAAATTTTATTTTGAAAGAAACTGACAGAAACACAGACATAGGTAGACAGACAAAGACAACAGGCGCAAGATAGAGAGAGGGGAGAGAGACAAGATGAGGTGGGGACAAATGAGTGACAGAGACAGAGAGAAAGAGGCAGATACAGATGAGAGAGGAGAAACAGAGACACATAGAGAGAGAGAGAATGAGAATGCAGGAATCACTAAGAAACATGCATGCACACATACATACATATATAATGCTTATATATTATATCTTATAATATATTTAATTATACCATTAATGATATAATTGGCTTTATATAGCTAAATATTATTTTATATTGCTGTATATTGCAAATTTTACATAGATTATTACATGATTCTCTCACATTACAGTAAGTAATCTTTCTTTTCAATCATATTCTGTAATTCCATATGATCATTCAAAACTGGTTATGAATGAAACAAAGATCTTCATTATTACTGGGTCATAGACCTAGAAACTCTTGACAAGCAAAACAAAAAGTACTCCAATATTGGGAGAATTCCTCTAATACATGAAAATCAAGAGAAATCGCCTCATTGTACTTTTTAAAAATATAGAATGGTTCAGACTGATCCAAGGAAATTTGGATAATCAGGAAAGATTTCATTCAATGATTCTCTAATAAAATGACAAATTGATTGTTAGATTTATTCACAAATATGACATAAAATAATTTTAGCAAGGGCTATTAGGGTATAAAATTCATATTGAAGGAAGATTTGTTAGTAGAAATAGGAAAATAAACAAAGTTTAAATTTTACCCAATAAATCAAAGAAATAAAGCCAAATAACTATTTTAAAGGAAAAGTCTTAACATTTCTGTCTCCTATATTGAGAGAAGGAACATAGTATAATGGAAAGAACATAGTGGCATTGAAATCAGCGATCTGAAAAAAAAAATCGGTAATCTGAGTTCCAATCATGTCTTTTATATTTGTTATTTCCGTAAGCATAGGCAAAACACAACTTTTTTCCAGTTACAGTATCTTTATTTTTATAAATGAGATGAGATGGCCTACAAGGTTCAATACAATAACACCATTCCATATATGGAAAAATGATTCTCTTTATTTTAATATTATAAACATCACAATGATAATAACTTGGGGTGGACAAAAATGTATCAAGAGAGAAAATGCTTCTTTTTTTAATAAATAAAAGTATGTCTTCAAACTGAGTTTTATGATTCACAGAAAATCATAATCCTTTAAGATGGAATTGAGAGGAGCCTGACATAATGTCTTAAGGGGCTTTAGAATCTTGACAACTGGATTTCTATCTTGCCTCCACCGCATTCTAACTAGAACCCAAATCACTTCACCTCTCATTGCCCTGATCAACTCTTTAAAAACATAAGTTACAGATAAAGTGCACAAATGTATTAGTGTTGGAAATTGCCACATTGAGAATATACTATATTGATCAAATCATAGGTCCGGATCCCTACTCCCCCCAAAAAAACAGAAATAACATTATTGTTCAAATAAAAATTATAATCTAATTGACATAGTTCTCAAGCATAAATATGTTTTAATGTATCTTATTATTACAACTTTTACAATGTTGAAATCTCAATAGAGTTATAAGACTGATTTCATAAGACACCCACAAAAAATAATATCCACATTTAAGTCATACATAAATATTTTACATTAGTGAGGATTTTATTCAAAATATCATTTTTTTAAAAAAATTACCTTTTCTGGAGTAAGATATTTATCTTGAACATTCAACTGCACATTACCTGTAAATAAAGAAAGGGGGATTTTTCAGTATTGCTCACAGAGATTAGAATTCTGTTACAATTGGGAGTGCGAAGCTATATACAAACAATCAGAGGGAACATGCATTTCTCCATGGTCTATCAAAACTTTGTGTGATAACGGATGTTCCAGTCTGTTTCAGGCATTTTAAAACTTGGAAATTTGTGCACAAGTATCTGCCAGGCCAATAATGCTAAAAGCAAAACATACTTAATTACAGTAGCATTTTAAGTCACCAGCAGAAAGAGTAAGGCCTACAAAAATACATCTATTAGCCGGGGCATAGAAAAACAGGACAAAGCAAAGTAGGGTTCAGAGCCAAAGTTAACATAGAGGTTCAGTCCCAGAACTGGGAAAGATATAACCATGTCTCAGTCCCTGAAATGTAGGGAGGGGGAGGGGAAAATGGGAGGTTACTAATGCCGAAGTTTCAGGCCAAGGCAAGAAAAAGGATGTGAGGGCATCAGTGAAACTGAGAAATCTCTCTTTGACCAGAGACAAATAAACATTAAGTTAAATTCACAGCTTTCCCCTCAGAATATTGTTAGGAGGCCTGCGTCATTTATCGCCTCCATAAGAGAACATCTTAGTTACCAGCCAAGTGCCATGTTTCTCAGGCCGGCATATTTGACTTGTTTTTCATCTCTACTGCCTTGAAGTTTGTCTGGAAAAGGCATATGTGCCTATGGTGGAGGAGTGCAGTAGTGAGGTGGTGGATATCATCAAGGAACAACCCAAAGGAGAGCAAGGTGGAATTGCAAAGCAAGATTTAGAATTGGATTTGGGAATGGAAAACCAAGTGATCTTTCACAAGTCACTCTAGGCTTTCAACTACCAGACAATCATAAGAAATCACCACTCTTTGTACCTCACAGATCAAGCGATAAACATATCAACCTCTCTCCATGCTTATCTCTACTTTTACTTCACCCCAAGTGAGACACTAAATATTGATTGAGTTGAATGGGATAGATTTCAAAAGATACAGGCCTAAGTGAGTTGCTTTATAAAAGCAAAATTCTAGGATGAACAACAGGCACTAAAACTGTAATATCTGCAAATAAGGAAAATGAACTATTTGGATTTTGTGTGCAAAAACTAAAGCCCTGCGTTGTGTGAAATTAAAAAAGTAAATTTTATAAGGATATTAGGAGAAAGGCATAATACAGAATGACTCCAGTTATCACTCATTCCTTATCACAGACTAAGGAAGCTCAATGCCTTGCAACCCCCTTTTTGTTATTTCGTTGGGAGCACTGGCACATTCTTAGATGAGAGATATAAAAAAAGATCTAAAAACTAAATTAAAAAACAAAAAAAAAACCCAATACCTAAACTAGAATCTAAATGGAAAATGTGCAGTTAGAAGTTAACAAAAGTAAATTAATGGCAAGTATAAGCACGCAAGGATCACCAAAAGCAGAGCTCTCTACTACCATCTCTTTCTCTCAATACTGTGTGTTTCTGTTGTAAATACTTTTGAATGAACAATCTGAATAATTTTGACAATATAAGCTCCTCTTCCCTCCCAGAAAAATAAAGATAAGGATTATGGATTCAACTCTATACTTTATACCAGGGGTCAGCAAACTATAGCTCAGTGGCCAAATCCAGCCTACTTCCTTTTTTCTTATAGTCTATGATTTAAGAACTTATTTTTAATTTTCAGAGACAATAAAACTTTAATTAAAAATGTATATGTATATATGTGTATATGTGCATATATGTGTGTATATACATATATGCGTGTGTATGTGTGTATATGTATGTATGTATGTATGTATGTATGTATGTATGTATGTATGTATTCTTAGCTGGGGCATGAGAAATCAGGCATCGTACCAACTACCTGTTAGAGTCTGCTGACCTAGGAATCACTATTAATTGATGAAGGTGGGAAGTATGCTATAAAGTTATTACAAGGGATCCCCGAGTTAGTACGCATACAGAGTATGGCCTTTTTGGTTGCAATTAATTCTAACAAAACCTTCAGTTTGACTCAAGAAAATAAATAAGGAAACACACATTCGTCAGACTGTATAAATAACGCCTTATGGGGAGAATTCTGGGAAGATAGGAGTAGGTCAGACAATCTCAAACTCTTAAGATTTTCCTCCATATTAGAGATGAAATAGTGTCTCAGGCCAAACATAGAGTGGTGAAAATAGGTAAGAGTAGGGGACCTGGTCCTCCCTGGACAATCAGAGATGATCTGAAGAAAAATCCCAGGAAGAGGTTTCCTCCAGGTGTAGAGTAAACACCTCCAGGCCAGGGACCACTTTAATAACAAGCAGCAAGCCCTAAGGTTAGCTGAGTTGAGAGGTTGCCTCAGCCTCACTTGCAGGAACTTTTACCCTTAGGACAGTGAGGGAAGTTGGGCTTCTGAGCTTGGCAAAACTGAGGGAACCTCTTCTGACAAGGAACACCAGACCCAGCTGTGCTGCTGAGACACGGTGGGGGTAAGGAGGAATCATCACATGCCCAGTGAGTGCAAAAGCTGTGGGATGGGACATCTCTGTTTGTGAGAACTTACAGGAGGGTAGAGGTCTTGGCTGGAATTCAAGTAAGAGGGGAGAACTGAAGAGGATCTGAGGCCAGAGCCATCATTCCCCGTACCCCAAGATTAGAGGTGATTATAAAAAACTGAACTATTACAAAAAAAAATGCACAGGAAAAGGAGAGAAAATCCAACCATAAAGATCTATTATGAGAATAGAAAAGACCAGAGTTCATTGTCAGAGAAGGATATTGAAGCAAAGAAACTCTCTTCTACCCCAAAACATAATGTCTCACCTGCCCCAAAAGAATTCATGGAAGAACTGAAAAAAGAATTTAAAAATCAAATGAGAGAAATTGAGGAAAAATTATAAAGAAAAATAAGAATAATCCAAGAAAAACAAGAATGTTATGAAAAGAAAGTCAACCAATTAGAAAAGGAGATGGGTGTGGGCACACAGGCTGCAGAGATCCTGGAACAGGCCCCAGAGGACTGAATTGACAGCAGCTGTGGAGGTTTCCAGACTTCTCAAGATTTAGCAGCTTCTACATTAAGGGAACAGAGGTCATGGAGTATGATATTCCAGAGGGCAAAGGAGAGAGGATTACAAAAAGAATCACCTACCTAGCAAAACTGAGTATAATCCTTCAGGGGAAAAAATGGTGATTCAGTGAAATTGGGGACTTTGAAGCATTCTTGAGGAAAAGACCAGAGCTGAATAGAAAAATTTGACTTTCAAATACAAGACTCAAGTGAAACATGAAGAGGTAAACAGGAAAGAGAAATCATAAGAGACTTACTAAGGTTGAACTGTTCACATTCCTGCATGGAAAGATGATATTTGTAACTCATGAGTCCTTTGTCAGTATTAGGGTAGTGGGAGGGGAAAAAAAATGTATGTCTATATAGATAGATAGAGGGCACAGAGTGAGTTGAAGATGAAGGGGTGATATCTGGAAAATGAAATTAAGGAGTGAGAGAAGATTATACTGGGAGAAGGAGAAAGGGAGAGGTAGAATGAGGTAAATTATTTCACATGAAACAGACAAGAAAAGGCTTTTACAGAGGAGGGGAAATGGGAAAGTGAGAGGGAATGAGTGAATCTTATAAGATTTGGCTTAAGGAGGGAATAACATACACACTCAATGGGGCATGGAAATCTATCTTAGCCTACAGGAAAATGGGGGGGGAAGGGAACAGGTGAGCAGGGGGGTGATAGAAGGGAGGGCAGATTGGGGAAGGGATAATCAGAAACAAACGCTTGTGAGGAGGGACAAGGTCAAAAGAGAGAATAGAATAAGTGGGCGGTAGGATAGGATGAAAGGAAATACACTTAGTTTTTCACAACATGACTACTATGGAAGTGTTTTTCATGACTACACCTCTATAACCTGTATCAAGATGCTTGCCTTTTCAATGAGGGTGAGTGGGGAGGGAGGGAGGGATAAAATTTGTAATTGAAAGTTAAAAACACATGTTAAAAATTAAAAAAATAATAATAATTAAAGAAAATTGTCCTGAAGTATTAGAACAAGAATGGAAAGAAGAAATAAAAAAAATCTACCTATCATCACCTGAAAGAGATCCTACAAGGAAAACCACAGGTATATTATAGTCAAATTCTGAACCCCAGTTCAAGGATAAGATACTATGAGCAAAAATAAAAAAAAAAATACATATGGTGCTACTACAATTAGAGTCACACAAGACCTAGCAGTATAACTTGGAACACTACATATCAAAGAGCAAAAGATCTGGGCTTCCAGCTGAAAATATTATACACAGCAAACTAAGCATAATTCTGAATGAAAAAAAAAAGACATTTAATGAATTTTCTGACTTTCAGGACTTAGTTAAAAACAAACAAAAAAACAAACGAAAAACCTGAACTTAATAGAAGATTTGCCATACAAGAGCCAAGAGAAATATAAGTTACATATCAATGACCAATTACAAGGAACTCAATAAGGATAGAATATTTACCTACATCTAAGATTGTTATTAGCAATTAGGTAGCTTATAAGAAAGAATGGGGTAGCCCTGAGTATGACATGACTTCAAAAAGTAAAACCATTCGAGAGCAGCTAAAAGAGTAATGATCTTATACAAATCAGGTGTGGGAGGAAGAACCAATAAAGAGGAATTAGATGGGGGAAGAGAGCTGTTAGTTCTGGAAGCCTACTGTCATCAGGAATGGGTTTAAGAGGAGAAAATACATATATATTTGGAAGAGTATTAAAAGTCTTCTAAACTTAGAAAGAAATAAGCCTCTAAGGGGATAGGTAGTAGGGAGAGGATAAAGGAAGAATCATTAAAGGGGACAGTATGTCAATAGGTTAAAAGAGGGATAAAGAAGGGGGTTTAGATTTAGAGGAATGGGAGGATAAGGGAGGGATCTCAGGAAGCTGTGTAGGTTAAGTAGTAGGAGGGCAAGGTAGCAGATAGAAGTAAAGTAGAGGAGTTAAAAGAAATAGGAAGAAAGAG